GATACGTGCATCCACTGGCGGAACATTCTAGGAAATTCTGAATATTAGAATGTAGGTCAAAGGATTCAGGAAATCCTGAATATTAGAATGTAGATTAAGGGATTCGATCCCTTGACCTACACTCAAGTAGAGATTTAAGGCTATCTTGGTAGCCAACTACTCTAAGAGTAGTGGTTCCTAGTTACTTTCGACTTGACTAGGATTGGGAAATGTGAAACAAGGTTAAAAATAAAAGATTACTACAACTTAAAGGTTAAAGCATTAGCCTTTGAAATTGGCATTGGCATTTCTTCTTCATATTGTAGAATAATTATACATCTTATCTTGCGTGGAGCATTCGTCTTGCAAATATCTGCTTCAGCTCAGATAATTTTATGTAATTATTAATACGTATCAAGAAATTTTTTTTCCTAAAAGAAATCATACTTCAAACTACTACAGATCAGTGGCGATCGGGTTGCTCAAGAAATTTGAAACGACTTAACTTTGAGCCAAGATTAACAAGTTAAAGAAACTTTAGATTTCTTTTTTTTTTTCTCTCTCTTTTTTTTTTAAACCTGTCTGGTTGATAGAAACTTTAAAGGGTGTGTATGGATTGCATGCTACGTTTTCCGTGGACACATTTTTTCAATCAACTTTTTGCCTCATATATATTAAATCGCTACAGTAATTTTTCTACAAAAAATTCAAAAAAATTCAATCCAAACAAAGCCTAGGTTTTATGAGTCCTTCAACTTAGTATGTCATTATTAGGACTACAAACGAGTTAAGTTGAGTCGAACTTTGATCTAATCAAGTTGAATTTCGACTTAATTTTATCAAGCTCGATCTCAACGAGTTCTTAATGTATAGCTCGAACTCGAGCTCGACCTCAAATTCGAGTCGAGTCAAGCTCGAGTTTGAGCTTCAAAAAAGTAAAAAATAATTATTTTATTCTTTTTAAAAATGAATAAAATAGGAGTTTTTCTCCATAGTCACAGTTCAGTGCGCACAAAAGAATTTAATTACTAACTGAATGAAAACTTGGAAAACTTGGCTCCTGAACTTTAATTATAATGTATTTAATTTCTATTTCCGAATACAATGGGAACTCAAGTTGATGTCCTCCTCAGCCCTGAAGAAATTTGGCAAGCATATTTTCTGATATCAAAATAGTCAGATCCAAAAAAAGGTAAAGTTTGCCGTTAGAAAAACCATAGATCAGTACTAGAGAGATGCAGAACAGTTCATGAAATGATCATATTACATGCATACATGGGGGAAGACAAATAGAAAATAAACTCTCTAACCTAAAAGAGAAGAGGGGGAAAAAAATGGGAAAAGCATAATCCGGGATGGATTTCTTGGGAGCGTAGGGCTTACAAACACTAAAAATTACAAAAAAAAAAAAAGAAGTATATAAAAAAAAATCTAACCAATTGTGTACAAGAAATTAGGCTGCAGATGTGTGCATGCTGTATCTGGAGCTGCCTGTCTCTGCAACATATATATATATATATATATAGTACTGTAATACATTAGCAGACGATGCTATCCACATAGATCAGCTTTTCATTCTGCAACTCCTCTCTCCATTTCTTGTTATTCTCATCTATGAATTCTTCAATCCTCTTGTTGAAATCATCATCATCTAATTCACTATAACTATCATCTTCACTCATTTCTTCATCATAGTCACAGTAACCATACCTCGTCAAAATCTCATCCTTCTGTTCCTCCTCCTCATCATCTCTGCCGTGGCTCTGATGATCTTGAGCTGTGTTGCTTATAATAATCTCGTCCTTGTTATAGCAGTAATCATCATCATCATCATAACTTTGATCATGATCAACTTCGAACTTCTCTTCTTTGTATTCAACGTGCACTATTCGCGGCAGAAAATCACCGTGGTATTCACCATCCTCTTCGTCTTTCGTGCTCTTAAGACCTTCATCCAAAAAATCGATAAACGACAAGATTGAAACTTCTGGAGATGATGATGAAGACAAGCTAGAAAACTGTGCAGAAACTCTCACCAGGAGAGCTACGACAATCATGTTAAAAGTGAAAAATACTACTAAATAACTAGGCTTTCCAGAGACGAAAATTTTGGAAACAAAAGAAATTTCATCATGTTGCTCATGCTGGGGAATTGATGAGGAAAATTTAGAAGAGAAGAAGAAGTATTCTCGGATTGTTAGATACAAGAGAAGAACTATTGGTGTAGCCCCTCCAACAATTTTCATCTGCTCCATTAAATGTAGAAATTTCTCAATATCTCTTCTTCTTTTTTTTTGGGGGGGGCCGAGATCAAATTGGTTTCAGTAGCTAGTTGCAAAAGTTCATGTGGAGGGAGCTAGGCCGACTAACACCATTTTCAGGGATTGAAATATATAGCCGTGTTGAAGATTATAGAAGTGGGAGGTGACAGTGAAAGAAACAGACTTTTTAGATCCTAGAAAAATTATTGGCTGTTTGGATGCTTTCGGTATTCTCAATACTAGCGCATGGTTGCTTTTTTTTTTTTTGGTTTGGTGCCAACTAAAATAAGAATAGGGTGCATCTTTTGTTCATACTCACTTGGTGAAAGGTATTTTATTTAGTTTATTGTAGGTTAAAATAAAGGAGAGAGCCGGACAAGATGCTTGGGAATAATTACTACTCGTCTTGAGCGAAGCCATAGCCAGAAAGAATATACTCTTGCATTAACCCTCGTTTTACGCACTTTAGGTAACTATTTTCCGCGTAATTAAAATTTAAAATCCTCAAGTGAAACAATGGGAAAATGGATTATTTAAGTCTTACAACTTTTTTCACAAAACAAATATGGTTTCTAAAATTTTGTTTTAGCCAATTTAGACCCTAAACTTTGGGCAACAAATCTCGACGACCATTAAACTATTTCCTGTGTCTATTTTTTGTCATCAAATTATTTTTCAATCAAACTATTTTTCGTCTCAATTTAGCCAGTCAACTAACTAATTGGTACACCATAACCATTTCGTCGGATTATGCTCTTAATCTACAAAATAAACTGAACACGTGCAAATTACGTATAAAAACTTAAGGGTAAATATGTCCATTGACCGTGCCACTAAATTGTTTTAATCGTACACTTTTAACCATCCAATTACTTTTTGCTTAAAATGGTTACTGAACTTACAAATATGCATATTAGTTGCCATTTTATCCAAATTCAGTGTTAATCCTAACGGAATAAGTTGCATGTGCATTGCACACGCCAAAGATCATGGGTAAATTCATCCAAATAGATGAAACAAAAATCCTAAATAGCCATGAAACTATACAAACAATATATTTTTAGTGATCTTTCATTCAAATTGGCCACTCAATTCACCAAAATAGTAAATTAGCAAGCTTTCATTAAAATCTTGTCATTAGATCTATTATTTTCATTTAATTTCAAGGTTCTTGGAAATAATTCGGCAAGAGCTTCAGCATATAATTTAGATTTTTTTGTCAAAATTTATAAATTAGAATATATTAAAGCAACTATTATAGATTTTTAATTAAAATATAAACCTCTCGATGGGAAAAAAATTCTAAAAAATTGACCTTACAAAATTGTCCTCGTTTTTTGGTGCATGAAATGCAAATGGAGCTCAATAGCATTAACATAAATATTTGATGGAATGACCACTAGTATACCGATTTAAGAGTTCAGAGATTATATTGAAACAAAAAATATTTGAGCGGCCAAAAGTGTACGAGCAGAATAGCACAGTGGCTGCTGGAGTTTTTAGGTTCGGATTGAAAATTTCAAAGGACATATTTGCCTTTGGATTTTTGATACATGAGCTGTGCACACGTTCGGTTTATTTTATAGATTAAGAGCAAAATCTGATGAAATGGCCACAGATAATCAAATATATTGATTAATCAGTTGAGTAGCTGAATTGAAATGAAAAATAGTTTGATGGTCAAACATAGATACAGGGAATAATTTAACGGCCGTCGATGTTTTTTTCCCCCTAAACTTTTTGACATTTTAGCCGATTTACTTTTTTTAACCAAAGTCCCACGAAGTAAACTTTTGCGTCCCTCAAATTAAATTAACCATCCCAACTATATTATTGAGTGGTTAGGTTACTTTCAACTAAATACTAGTATGAAATGACTTGGGAGCACCAACCAATCATTAGCCAGTCTAAAGAGCTAGTATTAGGGGTGCCTAGTCTTCATACATCATTATACACTAATGAACATTTATAATCAGAAGTACTTTCTACGCCATTAAGAAGATATTTCTTAAGACCCCACCCCACCAATTTGTTCATACTAATGCTTGTGTAACTGGTCTGGACTTCTTCTTCTTTTTTTTTCGGAGACGATAAACCTAATCTATCCTACACTAAGGGGAAGGGGGCGGATCTAAGGAGGCCCAGGAATAATCAGGAGGGGACTTAACCACCACCGGACCAGACGGGTGCACAGCACACCCGCCTAAATTTTTTTAAAAACAAGCCACTTAAATGTGACATTTTTTGTGGGATCCCTTGCCTCCCACCCTACCAACTAGATGGTGGCCACTGAGCCATTGGCTCAGTGGTTAACTGGTCTGGACTTCGTCACTAGTTTTTTTCACCACCAGCAACGGCAGTTCATATTCATAGTACAACAAACAGTCGATTATCCGAAGCTTGGAGTTGTTTTAGGGACCGGAAAATGCTAAACAAAGGAACTGGATCAGCATGGTTATCATTTAATAAATCCGACACGCTTAACAAAGCCTTTAGTTTTGCTCACCTTGCTGACAAAAGCTTGGGTTAGTCAAATTTCATAAATACTACTGTATCATGTGTTTAAGATTATTTTGTCATTTGCTTCTCAAATCACTATTCCCTATCCCATTAGTGGCCAAATCAAATCTCCCTTCAGGCCCGCCAAAATCTCCATCTTCTAAAACTTGACGCCTAACTAAACTGCTATTTCAGGTTGAAATGATTTCCAAATTCCTTTTTTTTTTTGGGTTTGTAAACACCATCAAGCTCAAGTACATTTGACTTTAAGATGCAGGTAAGAATAAATTCTGCCATGTTCCAACAGAGCCAAAAACTGAGGAGTACTAATAACCAAAATTTCTCCCCAAGCCATGATGAAAAGGGAACAGAAGTAAAGAGCAACAAGAACAACCTGTATCTATGACTGTCTCGTCTTCTATCCCGATCTCTTTCCCTTGTTGGACTACGCCGCGGTAGTAATCCTGTTTCCCAAAGAAAAACCAAGCATATGAAAGTTAGGAGACACTTTCAAATTTCAAATGCAAACATATTTTCTCTCAACAAAAATCAAGCTAAAGAATGGACCTTCTCATGATCCCCATCATCTGACCCTGCAGCTAGTTGGTCGTCTTCATCCTTTTCTTCCTCTTCCTCAAAATCATCTTCCAGAGCACTTCTTCTAGGTTCTAAAGAACCTAAGGCTTCAAGAGTCCACCTGGCAGTAAAACAAGAATATGCAAGTTAAGAGCAGAAAATCACGATAAACCCCAGGCTCCCCTGCCCCACGGGCCCCGGGGGGTGTTGTTGGTGGGAACCATATCCTAAGTTGGAGTTTGTAAACAGAAAGTCCAGATCCACTTGAATAACCAATCAATCCCACCCACCTACAAATTTATCTGCACTGGAGCCGCCATAATCATTGGAATTCATATATAATCCAAACAAGAATTCATTTGAACATGTTGATTCTTCATTATACCAAACATGTACAGAAAGATTTCCCCAATTTTAGTTCTATCTAGTAGTAAAATGCTCCCTCTTCAATTCTAAGCATTCATACAATTTCCTGCAGAACTCAGTGATGTTCAACAACCACATGATGGAGTGTGAATAAGATTGTGCAATCACTTTATATCCCATTCGCCATGCACTTACATATTGTTCTAGTCACCAATCACATATGTTCTCAAACATGTAATACACAATTCACATTTGGGACAATATAGATAGAACCTAACCTTTTCTTGATACGGGGCTTCAGATTATCAAAGAACCTGTGCAAAGAGCTAAGTGGTTTAATGGCCAGATTTTGGTGGGGAAATGATCAAGGGGAAACAAGAATGCATTGGAAGAAATGGGAGGATATTGCTGATAGGAAAGAAAATGGTGGTCTTGGATTTAGGGATCTGCTCTGTTTTAATGAAGCTTTGCTTGCCAAACAAGTTTGGCGACTTATTACCTGTCCCAACTTGTTAGTAAGTAAAGTCATGAAAAACAGATATTTCCCTAATTCCAATATCTTTCAATCCAAAGTAAAAGCTGGAGCATCATGGATTTGGCAAAGTCTGCATAGCTCTTTAAAGTTGCTTGAAAGTGGAATCTGGAAGCAAGTTGGGGATGGATCAACAGTGGAAATATGGGAAGATAGATGGTTAGATATTTCAAAAAATGGAAGAGTCTCCTCCCCAAAACCAAATGGCTACCAACTAACCAAAGTTAGCAGTTTGATCAAGGGGAGGAAATGGAACAATGACATCATTCAAGGACTGTTTTCAAAGGAAGAGGCAGAGGCGATCATGGCTATTCCCCTCAGCGTATTCCAAAAGAATGACAGATTCAAATGGACATTTACTGATAATGGTTGCTACTCTTCTAAATCTGGGTATGCTAAGGCCAAGGAGAGATTCAAAGAGAGCAGTGAAAAGAATAAGGCAAAGGTAAACTCCAGTACAAACAAGGAAAGATCCAAGGTCTGGAATCAACTTTGGGGACTGAATATCAAACATAAAATTAAACATTTCTTGTGGAAATGTCTTCATTGTATCCTCCCAACCAATGAGGAAATTTTTAGAAGGACAAGCAAGGGTGATCCGATATGCAAATGCTGCGGGGAAGAATCAGAAACGACTGAACATGCACTTTTTCACTGCAAATCTAGAGGGCTAGCTTGGGCAACATTTCCTGTCTCTTGGGATGGCATTGAAGAACATAACTGGAACTTTTGGAAATGGTGGGAACATATGCAGGGTGCCAGAGCAAGGGAGGATGGGAATAAACACATTGAAATTACAGCAAATTTCCTCTGGCAAATTTGGAAGGCAAGAAACGGGTGGAACTTTAACCAGGATCTGAAAGGAAGTGACCTGATATCCAAAAAAGCAATGGAAGAATGGATAGAGTTTGATGAAGCAGGAAGGAATTCAGAGATGACCAATGGTACGGGTCCCCAACCAGAGGACAGACAGAGCATGTTAGTTGGACTAATGGAACAACATGTTTCCATTATGTATACGGATGCAGGAATGAATCAAACCAGAACGAAAGCAGGAGTTGGAATCATTGCTAAAACTAACAATGGCAGGATTCTGACGACTTGATCTATCCCGCAGCCAGGAGGTAGAGATGCAGCTGAAATGGAGGCTATCACTATTAGAACAGCATTGAGCAAGGCTATTGAGGAAGATATGACATCCTTATTGATCCTCTCGGACTGCAAAGCAGTGGTGGATAGAATCAATATAGGAGGCCAAGGTCTAACCTCTCTGGACATGCTCATTGAAGACATAAAGCAGTTGAGTCTTTCATTCTGGAAATGCTCCTTCTTTCACATAAGGAGGGAAATGAACCTGTGTAGCCATAGGCTAGCTAAGTTTGCTATTAACTTGGTACATGAAACTAGGTGGAAGCAATCCTTCCCTGTGTGGCTTAACAAAGAAGCCCACAATGATTTCCTGGCAGTTGCCAGCCTTTTGTAAATCTGCTATGCAGACTAATCATTGAATTATATAATACAGCTGAAGTTTGACAAAAAAAAAAAAAAAAATTTACAAAGACAACGGTCTTAGCATTTTGGATTTTTTTTTTTTTTGCACAAACACATTCAAGGACGACCACAAATTGTCCAATAACATTTTGCCACATCAGAAAAAAAAAGAACGGTCTCGGCAACACCCCCACACACTTAGTACATATGTGTTAATAAAGAGTAAAATTTTGTGAAACATCCCAAAAGTTTAGCTCAATTTCATTCCAACTTAGGGTCTTCATCTATTTTACCCAATTGCATAGCTGCCACGGCTAGTTTTCAAAACCAAAACATGAGGACTAATCCGGAACTGAAACAAAAACCTGGGGACTAAAAGCGGTAAATCCCGCAAAATATTAAACTTTGATGCCCCCGAATCTAAGCCCTGTCAGGTTGGAACTCAAAAGAAGTGGAGTTGTGAAGTACTCAAAGTTCTACAGCTTGTTTGAAGAGGAAAAGAGAGAGATAGATAGAAAATTCAATAGGAGAAAAAAAAAAGGGCCGGAGGATAGTAACTAAAGCATGGGTGATCTAATTGCTTGGTTATTATCCTTTTTCATCCTAATTGCTCTTCTTGGTATTATCCTCTATCAGGTAAATTATAAGCTCAGAAATATTTTTTTCTTGCATTTCTTTTGTATTTTTTACAATTTAAGATTCCCTTTGAGGTCATTATGAATAGGATGCAATAATTAGATTTCTAGAATGGGTTGCTGCACTCTTACCTGGGACGTCCTAGGTTGTAGAATTATGCAGTTAAACTTAGATAATTCTTTTTGAAATTAGCAGAATAAGAAAATAAAAGGGATTATTGACCATGCATATGATAATCTCTAGTTGTTTTGATTTGGGAGGTTAAAGATTTGATTTTTAACATAGCAGCCTTATGAATTAAGTTGGCCCCTTCGGTATGGAGCATTTTTTTTTTACCATAAACATGATCAATTAGAGCTGGAAATTTATAAAATGGACGTGTTCTTGGATCTTGAACTGTTCCAGAATTGACAAATGATTAATGCAGATGACGGGAACATGTTTAATGGTTAGCTATTAGTATGTTAGCCAACAAAAGGGGTATTAAATGACGGAATGATTTTGTGTGATGGGAATATTTAATTCTTGGCTACCTAAGCGATGAATGAGGAATTGAGGCGATGGAGATTATTAAGTCTGTGTCTTGAGTGTTCTTGTCATCTGTTGCAGCAACTTGCTCCTAAGACTATTCAAGGTGAGTCAGTTGGAAGAGTGCTGTCTGTACATTGTGTTTGCAGAGAGGCTTTAGAGATTTGTAAGGAGCTAAGTATGTGAGCTGTATTATGTAATGTTGGTCATCGTTTCTTCTTTATTGTCAATGGATATGCACATGCTTGTATTGAACTCAGAAGCTATCTCTGCATGGTTAGAACTTGAATTTACTAGGTGTATAATAATTGTGCTTCTGGGTTGAGTGGAGTGCGAGGGGGAGATATCAACAAGTGTGCTCTGTTATTTCCGCTTTTAAAGCATTTTTTATGGACTCCCACTGATTTGAAAGACTAGTAGTGTAACAGTGATTACTAAGGTTACATTTGCAACACAAGCTCGGCTGACGTCAACTATATGGACAACTCTTCTAGGCATACAGGTTTTAACATAAAATCTGGTTGATAATATGCTCCTATGGTATTATATGCCTTGCTATCTTTTGACAGGGTTTCTATCTTCTTCCTCCCCATGTGCTCACTATATATAGATTAGTTCATTGTTATTTGGTTTTAGAAGAATCTTACAAATGAACTTGTTTACTGCAGCTCATGTGCTTGGCAGACCTTGAGTTTGATTACATAAACCCATTTGATTCAGCATCTAAGATAAACAACGTTGTTTTGCCAGAGTTTATCACTCAGGGAGTTCTGTGTTTCCTCCATCTTGTGACAGCACACTGGATGATGTTTCTGCTATGTCTTCCATACTTGTATTACGACTTTAAATTGTAAGTTTTTACCTCTAGAAGGTAGAGAAGAATATAAGTTCAGTGTGAAAAATTTAACACTCTTAAGTTTTTCAGTTAGGGAATACATGATATCTTCATTAACGGTGTCTTATAATGAGCAATTTATGTTGATGAGGTAATTATTTCATAAAATTATCATATTGATGAGACTACTGCAGTTTAATACATGCAAGCTTATTATCAAAACCAGCACAATTGACTGGATTCAAGACTTGGATTTCTGTGAATCTTGTTAGCATTGTCAATTCAAAGTTGAAATTAATTGGTTACTGAATTTGTCGGACCATGGTTTGGTAGTTGAAGGTTGAAATTAGATTTCTTGATTTGGATTAATTTGATTCCCATTGGTTCTGGACAAAAAAGTTTAGTGGCAGAAACAAAGCTTATTATATTTGCTTCATTGTGTAGTGTATTTTTTCAGTATTCCTATGCTTTAATCCTCATGTAGTAATCTTGCCTTTGTCAGAATATACTTGTTTTTGTGGCTTAACATAGGAGACATTGTTGGTGCTTGATCTAATTGTGTAATTATGCATCTGAGTTTATCATGAGAAGTAATTGACTCTAACAATGCATTTTGTCTCAACAGTTTGAGTGCATTTAGTTTTTGCTTGTTAAGTTGGTATGTAACATATGTAAATTATTTACATTTTGGCATGGGCTGTACAACATAGCATTCTGAAAGTCCTTGTTATCGCAATCTAAAAGGACGTTAGATTGTGAATTTAGTGATCAATCTAACTGGTCAATTCCTGGAGAGGCAAAAAGTCATCTTGCAAAGAGTACTTGAAACATCATGCCGAGTAAAAATGGCCTTTCTTGATCTGTCATGGCTGATCCATGGTTAATACTTTCAGCAAATAGTTTCTTTTTCAACGTATTTGGATATGCAATCCTTGAGCAAAATTAGCAAATAAGCCACATGTTAGGACGCTCTTGGCAGGAACTCAAGGAGAAGGGGATTTTGTTAATTTTATCTCTAGTCTACTAATGCTTTGTCTAAGCAGAATGAGTACAAAGAAGAAACTACTATGGGGTTGGGATGATTTTCCTTCTGCTACTTAACAGTTATTAGATTGAAGAAATAGGAAGAATTTGCAGGGGCGGAAGATGTCTCTTAGAGATCATATAGAAATTGTGCCTTGCTGTGATAGAAGGAAAACTGCTTTGTTCTGACTTGACAGTTTCATATTCTTGTTTTGGCATTCAACTCATATAATAATCTGCGTCAATTTGCAT